TTTTATTTTCCTCGAATATTATGAAGGTGAGGAAGTTTTTGTGGGCCAAAGATCAGGAGATGGCATTTTTCGGGCGAAAAGCGTATCTGCCACTGATTACCCCATTCGCTGAATTTTTTGATATCGGTTTCGATTGTTCTGTGAATATTGGCTACTCTATTCCCATTATATGCATATGCAAGTTTCAGGTCGTCCGCATATAAAAACGTCTTAGTTGAGACAGATTTGTGCATGCGGCCCAGCCAACTGGGGCTCATTTTACGTTGCGCTAACGTATGAATGCTGGTTAGCATTGGCAGGTACTTCATTCAGTGGGCCAGGGAGGGCTAGGTTAGAATGTGTGCTTTTTTTTACTTTTTTTGCTTTTTTGCCGCCGGCCGCAAGACAGGTGGTCCGTCATCCATAGAATACCTCATATAGTTTGCTATGATTCCTAACGCCTAGCCGCATGCCTACGTGAATGCCGACAGAGTCTGCGTGATAATAAGAAGAAGCGATCGCCGGAACAACGGCTTTATTCGCCTGACGTTTCGGATTCTCACTTGAACCCATCATCAGAGACGGTGGCAGAAATGGGTGACTCGTGCACAAGAAGTTGTAGTATTTATAGGATGAGTTCGCTATGCTACCGCATACCCATTATAATTAACCGTGCCCCCCTTCATCAAGAAATGTTGCCCGCTTGTGCGCTAATTGCTTGATGGCCAGCATGCAAGTTGTTAATTGTTGAAATCACATCACCCGTGTTGAATGCTCGTGTGATGATTGCTCGGACATCTGGCTCGCCGGTTTGCGCACTCCCCGAGTGGTCAATCACTTTGGCCAGCCTATGTCTCAGCAAGGAATATGGAATAGGGATGTCGTTGCACTTGTTAATAGACTGAGGTCCCGTGAACCATGACTCAAGCAACTCGCGGCTCACGCGATTATCCCCTCTCGCGAGAATTTCGGCCTCATCGAAATTGAATGTGGTGTCCTTGGAAAATACTTGGAATCTCTCTTTATCACAGAGTCAGAACCCAGAATAGGTTAGAATATTTGATTTGGATGTCAGCGATCCCCACTGCGTGACATTACGTGAGAGTGCATGCCTTCATTCGTTTTCTGTTGGGCTGTAGGAGTACAAAGCATTTGTGAAGAAGACAGCTACGGTAGATAATAATAATAATAATGATAAATAATTTTACTTAAAGGAATTCACTGCCCGTTAACAGACAAGGAAATGAGAGCAAGTACTGAAATACTTCTGGTGAGACGATGGGCTGCCTCCCAGTAGACGGTCTTTTACGCTAGCAGGATTCACAGGCGGCAAATGCAAATTTAACGCAAGTAGAACGCAAAACAACGCACTAACTGTGCAGATGCTTCGCTGGGATGATCAGCGAACGCCTTGACTTGCCACGGCAGACTGTACAACTTCAGCGGCAGAATATCGGCGAAACACGTGGCTGGGCATATAGCTAGCATCTTTGCTGTGACGTATGGTATATCGTGCCACCTATGCATGTACCGCTGTCCGACTGTTATCAGTTTGTGGATACTACACGGTTATTCAGCTGTGGCTGATGAAATTCGGCTCAAAGACTCGTATCAAATCCCAGTCTGAACCCCAAACATACTGGTTTGTTCCAACCTGGCCATTAATTTCCGAGAAAATAAAAATCTGCAATAATTTCCAACACCCTAAAATGCTGAGGCGCATATCCTCGACTTTGTCCTCCTTAACTGACATTTTCAGGTGACGTGAGTGGAGACGTCTAGAAACGCTTCAAAAAATACCTTGTTGTTGTGTGTTGGAAGGAGGTTGTGAGCAGGTACGTCTGGGTGTTGAAGGAAACAACATGATAGTTTGCTGATTGACAGGTAAGGGTCTCGCTTGCAGTTTGAAGTATTCACAGCTTTGTGAAATACCGTAAAAATTGCAGAGATGGGTGTAGTCAGTGGTCGAGAGGCTCACACAACTTTAAAATATAGTACCAGTGGTATGGGGCGCTCATCGATCGTTTTTACGGAACTCACTGGTCCCGTTGTGCCTTACGGGCTCTCTCTCGAGCCCAACCAGCAGCCGCACAGCGGCGCATGATATAGGCAGAATGGTATTACCGACAAAGACAAGGGAGACTGGAATGGCCATTTCTGGCTTATTAGCCGTCGTCAGCCAGTCATACCCTACCCCGAAGTGTGGAACGCCCGAGGCTCAAACTCGCGACCTGTTAGTTAAAAGTCCACGCCTCTAACTTGAGTTTCGGGTGTTCCACACTTCGGGGTTGGGTATGACTGACTGACGTCGGCTAATTAGCCAGAAATTGCCATTCTAATCTCCCTTGTCTTTGTCGGTAATGCCATTCTGCCAATATAGTACCGTTGGAAAGAAGGGCAAGGCGTGAAGTCCAATGAACAAAAAGGATGCAGCTTGAAGAAGGAGACACGATCGCTGGGACAAGAGCTTTATTAGCCTGACGTTTTGGATTCCTGCTCGAACCCATCATCAGAGACAATAGCAGATACGGGTTGATGATGGTTTCCAGCATGGATCCGAAACATCAGGCTAATAAAGCTCTTGTCCCGACGATCCTATCTCCTTTATCAAGACTGCTTCCTGGGACTCGTCTCTTCGCTTCTACTGACAAGAATACAACTACCGAATTTATTACAAATTCGACAGTTTGACTGTTGTTTCCCACGATGTTCACCGTACGACCCACAGCAGGGTGGGCGCAGAGACGGGAATTTTCGCGTAAATTAGTTTGTGATGATAGTAGATTGCGCTGCATCTGCCACACTCTCTCCTCCACATCCTCAGGAGCCAAATATCAAGAAGGCCGGGGACGGAATCGGACGTAGGTGACCCGCGCGGCTTAAGCCTGCGCCCTGACGTGCCACCACAACCCTGGTCCACGCACATAGGATCAGGCTTTCACACAACAAGAATGGAGGGGGGCTTGGATCCCCGCTGAGTGGGAGGGCCCTAAAGGCAACATTAAGAAGGAACAATCTCAGCCTGATCCTCCGTCCCGGGATGAGGACCCGTAAGTTGTCAGCCTTTCAAGTCACGGCTTCAAGATCACCCTGATAGTTAAAAAGCGTGCCAACTTTTTTTAGTGGGGAGTATGCGCTTAGGGAGTCGAACTTGGTCTCTCCCTCTCCTCTCTGCCATGCAACAGCCGATCAACCAGCTGATGCGGGGACTGGACTCAGTGGCTCCTCTTCGCGTGCCACGCACGACCTGTCCCCAAAGGAACCCACCAGGACTTCGCGCAAAGGAGGCAGACTGCTTGTGTTTCACATGCGTAAGCGTGTCCTAGAGACCATATTAAGAAGGAGCCATTACAGCCTGACTCTTAGTCCCTCAGTCGCCCACTCCATACAAACGCACAACACTGGGCTGACTGCGAGGTCCCGCTGAATGGTCGTTTGGTGACCTTCCAGGTCACGGCTTTTAGCGTACTGTGCAAGTTTAAAGCGCGTCAGAATGTTTGTCGTGAGGAATATGCACTGAGAGTCGGTCGCGCATGCAGCGGCCAGTTGTCCGAGCTGGTCACCCTACTGATACCTAACTCAAAAAGACGTTCTGCCGCCCTTCCGCTGCGTCGTATCAACTTTTAAGGGATTTAAAAGGTCTTGTCCCGGGGATCCCATTTAAAGGTCGTCTGGAAGTGGCGGCCACTGGCCTATCTAGATGGCTGGACGGAGATCGAGCTTCAGATGTCCCACACTTCGGGACCGGGCATGACTGGCTAACGACGGCTAATAAGTTGTCCTGTCGGTTGTGATCGGGAATATCAGTTATGACAGTGGGCACTCACCGATCAGGTTACGGAACATGCTGGTTCCGTTGCGCCTTGGGGCTCATACAAGAACTCCGCGGGCAGTCGCACAGCGACTAGTAGCAGATGTAAATCAGGTGGCACCGACAAAGACAAGGGAACCGGAATGGCCACTTCTGGCTTATAAGCCGTCATCAGCCAGCTATAACTTACAGGACAGCAGATCCGTTGCTCAATGGTAGAGCGTTAATCTCCATGACCAAAGATCCCGGGTTCGAACCTCAACTGAACACACTTTGGGTTGGAAATGACTGTTTGATGACGGCTAATAAGCCAGAAATGGCCATTCCAGTCTCCCTTGTCTTTGTCGGTAAAATTATTCTATCGAAATTTCTTTTTTGCTTTGGATCTCCGGGCGTAGAGTTCGTCTGGACTTTTGGGTGGCTGTGGGCAAGCAGTCATCGCAGTGTCGACGGCATTGACTGGTCACGACGAACGAGCCAGGAGTGATAATTTCAGTGCCCCTTAGTCTTTGCCATTAACACTTCCCGATTCAACTTCAAGTTCCCACACTAATCACAGTCGTCGCATCACGCGGGCAAATTAACTGACCTCGCTCACCCACATGTCGAAAACAGTGAACCGTTATGTCATGCTTTGTTTATTCTTCCCAAACGGCATCGGCACAGGTGGCCGCGAGAAATCCCAAAAGGATGTCAGCATCCCAGTGTACACAAATTAACTAGTACTTATGTTTCATATAAAGCTACTCAAGTAATACCTAAGACTGGCAACACAGTTGGGTGTTTCAGCGTTCTTTGTGGCAGTTGCATGAATGGGTCCGGGTACGTATTTTTCTTTCATACGGACAATTTGTGATCATGCATTTTTCGTACTGCTTATTTGAAAAGATGGATACCCTCGGCTAGTTCAGAAAACTCCACTCTGGGCCACAGCTCAGTGAAAAGATTCGAGGGAACTAGTTATGTAGACTCAACCCAGGACAAGAGTGCGGCGAGGTTGTACGAAATATCTGAAGGTAAATATACCAACCTGTGTGCTTTTCTTCCAGTAACTTCTGTGCGAATGTACTGTTAGGCTACTTGCCGCGTTGACATGCCATTCAGCAGAAGCCGCCCGGTTATAGAACGTTTGTGGTGGGTGCAGCGTCCCTTGTAGCGGTTCCGCAGGCCCTTAAAGAACCATGCACCCCTCTCCTTCTCTACTCCCACCTCAAAAGACGCCCGCTTTCGCCACATGACAAAATCGCGTGAATGAGAGGCCATGCTGGATGTTCTTGCTCAAGGACTGCGGACACACTAACATCACACACGCATCACCAGTGAAGATGTGCACGAGGTTCGGGACAATGCCGGGAGGAGGAGGAGGAGGAGGAGGAGGAGGAGGAGGAAGAGGAGAGGGGGTGAAGAGGAAGAGAAGAGAGGGAGGGGGCAGAGGGGGGAGGAGGAGGAGGATGGGAAGGAGAGAGAGGGGAATGATGGGGTAGGAGGAAGAGAAGGAAGAGAAGAGGGGGGGAGAAGCAGAAGGGGGAGAGGAGGCGACGGCGGCGACGACGACGACGACGGTAGAGGGAAGGACCTCAAAGGAGTCATCTGCTTTTGCATGGTGGCCTCCTCGCGAGAGTTCTTACACCCACTTGTCAAAAGTTCATTAACTCCTATTAAGCCGTAATATTCTTGTCGTTATACTCGTTAGTTTAATTGGTTTGGCATAATCTCTAATATACATTTTGCAGAAATTTATAATTTTTTTAATATTCGACATCTAAAGTTACTTAAAAACTGCAGTACTTATGCTGAAGGTGCATTGACTGATAGGGCTGCGGGGGATGCTCAGTGTAGAGCATATACATGCAGAAAGAAGGTCCGGCAAAATAATGCAGGTTTGAGGCGTATGTGCGAAAAAACCTGAGTATCGGTAAGGCCGGCTGGCGACGGGCAAAAGTGGCCATCCCAGTCACTTTTGTCTTTGTCGAGACTCCTGGTCGCTCCACTGCTGTCTGCCAGAGTTCTAAACTAAGGCACAACTGGATGAGCAGCCCTGTCGGTGAACACGCTTCTGCCTGCTGTACTCCACCGTTACCAAAATCCTGTTCTGATTTCTCGGACGAAACAACAAACGTGCCATGGATGGGGACGTGACTGTCGAGCTGCGCCCTGCAGTTCAGTCTCTCGTCAATTAGGCTACGGATCATGCTGGTCCCCTTGTGTCTTGGGGCTCAATCTAGAGCCTTCGCAGGCAGTCGCGTGGCGACTAGTAAACTATGCAGCTAATGGTGAGTTTGAATTAATCACCAAGGCTCCCAGATTTAAATCTGAGGTGGTTCACACTTCGGATTAGGCCTGATTGGGTGTGGACGACTAATAAGCCAGAAATAGCCTCTCTTGTGTTTGCTGATGCTTCAGTATCTGCGAATATATATAAGGGCAGAATGACATTACCGACAAAGACAAGGGAGATTGGAGCGGCAATTTCTGGTTTATTGGCCGTCGTCAGCCAGTCATACCCAACCCCGAAGTGTTGAACACCTGGGGTTCGATCCCGCGAGCTGTTGGTAAAATGTCCAGCGACTCCAACCACTGAGCCACGGGACCGTCGTCCTGTCGGTTGCGACCAAGAATGTACAATGTTAGAGGGGCGCTCACCGATCGAATAATTTCAGGAATTATTCAGTGCAGAACATGGGGTTGAGTCTACTGTACATGGCTTTTCGGGGCCAGGCTCGAAATTTCAATGAACATTCGGGTCGAAGACAATTAACTACTGTGGACCAACCACGTAAGGCCGATTCCATAAACAAGTAATGCTACGAGCAGTATGAAATCTATACGGTAAAGGGACACGTCTGTGCTTTTAGCTAGTATCGGTATCGGGTTACGGTATGTAAAACTTTTCCAATTCCAGAATAACTTCGAACCCGACCCGCCGTTGCACTTGCATTCGGGGTTTCCAAATACGGACTGCATATTCTCCGTGCACGGAAAATCATATATTTTTGGACACTACTAAAAGGAGGCCATATGCAGTTGATAAAATTGTACAGTGGATGTGAACAACATTGCATAGCTTATAAGTAGCATTAGTAAATGCAGACAGAAGATGTTTTATGAAAGGGAATTTCACGGTCTCAAAATACCTCATAATCATAAACTTTCTTAAAACCGAGTTATACCCTTCCTTCAAGTATACAATTCGAAGACAGCGTAATTATCTATAAAATGAGTAAATGATTGAATATGTTTATGCATTATTTCTATGAAATATATCTAAATTTATAAGGGTATCGAAAATCAATGACAAAAATTGTACTGCTTATGTAGTCATTTTTCACAAAGTGCAATTTTTGCAGGCGACCGGAAGGAAGTTCGTCCAAAAGTCGGCATGCTATAATAACCGAGTTATTATGAGATTATCCTGCATGATGATAAATATTACAACCTTATTTAAGTAATCTTTTCGAGTCGAAAACGCATTTCAGAGTTTCGGTTAACATTTTATGAGTTATCACATCTCCTGTATGTTGTGGACCACTGCTCTAATGGCTCTTTGAGCCTTCCTATTTACTGTCTTGGTGCTGATTCCGTTTTATAAGTCCACACTGACTCCACAAAGTTTTAGAATTCTTGCCATCACCCATGAAACCTTCTCCACCTAGGGACTTGAGGGGCAGAACTTCGGCTTTTTTCCGTTCAAGCGCACAAAATGAGGCTGTCGATGGCGCTTACGCATGAGGCACTTCGGGCAGCTACTGGTTTTGAAAAGGGCGTGTTGGTACTTTACCTCCTCCTACTGTCCTCCGTACAGTGTATTTGAACAAATGGGAAGATTGTTCTGACACAACGGTGTTTGTGATCAAGAGGGTGCGCCTGGTATTGCTTACCTAATGGTAGACCGTTGTCCTTATCTACCTGTGTACCGGCTTTGCGATTTGTCCGTCGAGGAAGGACGGCGAGATCTTGTTCCGTAGTCGTACCTGCTAGGGGTTAGGATTAGGAGTTGGGGTTATTGGTCAGGGTTAGGAGTAGGGGTTAGAGGTCAGGGTTAGGGGTTGGGATTAGCGGTTATGACTAGGGATTAGGCTGGGCTTATCTACTGCAGATACGGCCATGAAATAAGATACGACCGGAGTGGCAGCTGGTTGTTGACTTATTCCTTTATAGTAAACTGAATGTCGGGAAAGACTGAATTCAGTAGTGTCTTAAAAGATTGCACGTCGCCCCTCCTGATGATGACGAATGTGTCTTCGATCTATCAGGCCCAGAACATCGGGTGGTAGGAGCTGAAGATCAGCTAATCGAGCCTTTGCAAAAATACTTTGACGATTAGTTCAGTCAGAGGCGAGCCCATCAGTGTGCCCTTCTTTTGCCCGTAGACTTGGCCGTCGAATGTGAAGAATGTCTTAGGGCCCAATTCTAGGATTTCGATGATACGCACTCGTTTGGACTGTGGGTTGTTCTCAACACACTTTCCCCTCAAAAAGCCGTTGATATTGTCGATAGCCAGAACGGGTAGGATAGAGATGAGTGACGAGATCATTTCAAATGACATCATCACCTCGTCTGCCTCTACATCGAGATGTCGAATGCTCATTAAGAACTCTTTGGCCGACTTCACTGTCAACTCCGAGTCCTTGGTAATGAAACAAAGTCGCTGGTACAGCCACTTTGACAGCTCAAGGATTGGGGCGCCACGTAGGGCGACAGTAGGGCATAGGGGCACTTCCGCCTTGAGAGCCTTCGCCCTCCTCGGATTGCCGATGATCTTGTTTATACGCCTCACGAGTTTTTTGAACTCGCTGACAGTCGATGGTGCATAGGATCCTCTGTCCACCAAGAAGCTGTCCAGTTTTGCGCGTAGAACTCGGTCTTATCCATGACAACAGTCAAGTGTCCTTTGTCGACCGGCAGGATGACGATATCGTCTATATTTCGTATTCTAAGAAGTTCTTAATCTTTTATTTTAGAAATCGCCGTCCGGTGTTTGTGATGGAAGAGTCAAGTCGACATGGCTTGGAGCCCTAAGAACGGCAATGCGCGGCGTCATTGCATGTTACATGGTGGTCAGCCGTCTCGGAAAGTTGAGAATATAAGTCCTCCCTCCTCCGACGGGGTCCTGGCTCACAATTTATTCTCCCATCGTCTCACTCAGAAATAACTAGCGATTCTAATTTGTGACGCACGGTTCAGCACAAGAGATGCTCAACCAGGAGGCTTTATTGCATCCATCGAATCGACGCTCCAGAAGTGTGGGGCAGGTGAGGAGTGTAAAAACGTCATGCGGCGGCAAGTATGGACTTTACTCCTCCAGCACAGTGGTAGCGTGAAGTAGAAGTAGTAGCAGCGGTGACAGTAGTAGTAGTAATAATAGTTGCAGTAGTAGTAGTAGTAGTAGTAGTAGTAGTAGTGGTAGTAGTAGTAGTAGTAGTAGTAGTAGTAGTAGTAGTAGTAGTAGTAGTAGTAGTAGTAGTAGTAGTAGTAGGTAAAATGGGAGTAATGGTAGCGATTGCTATAGAAAAGTATCGGTCACGGGACTGATATTACAGTTGAAGCAGAAAGTTTAGTAGTTGCAATTGTAGCGGCAGTAATACTACTTTCAGCAATAATACTAACAGTAGAAGAATTACTAGTAATGATCGTAGCAGTGTTGGCATTTTTAGTAGGAACAACAATACAATGGCCAACGTGACCCTCTGTCTCTCGTGTTTACGCACGCCCTTGATTATGACCACCGCTTCAACTGGGACGGTACTGAAGTGATCGCAATAGCTAATGCCAGACAGGCTCGAGAATTCCTCGAAGCTTGGCATTCTGGCACGACCAGCATCATCCGCCACGTCGATCTAGACGCCCACTACGAGGGCTTACATACACGCTCACCGTCTTGTTCCCTCACCCTAACAACCGCTAACCCCACTCGGCCACATAGACGTATGCTGCCTCGCTATTCCGCCCCCCCCCCCCGCCTTTGCGACACGGTGAACAACAACTGAAACCCCCTAACACCTCCAACGCCGGCGCATTGGTCCCTCGTCGTCTTACTAGGTTGGTTGGTGCGTTTCATTGAAAAGGTCGTCTTACAAATAAGTCTTTATTTTCTGCGGTTGTCATGGTAGGCTTTGCAGTGCGCTCCCCAATATTTCGGAGGGTAAATCTCTTTGGGTATTCGTTTCCGTGGTGTGTGGTGAGGTACCTGACCAATTTACCTTTGACAATTTAGTCCCATTTCCTTTGACCGCATTGCTTGTTTGAATGTGACGAGAAACGACACACCTGTACAACCCGCCGTGCTAGCGTGCTCTGCTGTGGTATTCTGTTGTCAGTTTTCTTAACGTTCAAAAACCTCTATATTATTCACTGCTCCGATTTACTTGCTGCATTTAAGGCTAGGGGCTCGTGAGATATAACTCGTTAGTTCGTGAGAACATTACGATTTACGACATTGGTGACTCCCGACGTTTACGCAGACTTTATAGCTTTCTGTCATACTGGATATCATTTAACGTACTATTTGCTTGTGAATATCTATTCCATTTACATTTACTTTCCTCACGAATTCTGATATTTTGACATCTGTGTCTTATTATGTCTCACTCCGATCAACAACTTGATGCCCCCGCCCAGTCCCTTCATGCAATCAATTTTACTTTGCCTGAATTCTGGCAACACGCTCCAGAACTTTACTTCATCCGCATAGAATCAGCCTTTTATTCTGCCAACGTTACCAAGGAGCTAGCAAAATACCACAAACTCGTGGAGGTCCTCCCCGCTAGTGTCATCTCTCAAGTTCAGTCCTTGCTAGCTAATCCTCCTGCAGATGCTCCCTACTCCGCGTTAAAGGCAGAAATCCTCCGACTTAATTCTGTGTCTGACCGACAGAGGTATCACCAGTTAATTAAGGAGGAGTCACTGGGTGACCGGAAGCCCTCAGAGCTTCTACGTCGGATGCGTTGTCTCCTTGGAGACATGCAAGTTGATGATAAATTTGTCAAGGAGATGTTCCTGGAGCGCCTGCCCACAGATGTTCAAACGATCCTGGCGTCCGGCTCTCAGGATCTCACAGTGTCACAGTTGGCTGAGATGGCGGATCGAATGATAGAGGTGCAACGATTCCAGTCACCTTCCGTTGCCCAGATCTCATCCTCATCGTCAGTGAATGAGCATTTACTAAAACAGGTGTCGGCCATGGCAGATGAGATGGCCTCTCTTAAAATAGAGCTCGCCCGCCTAACTTCCAGTCGCTCACGCAGTCGTCGTCGTTCTCGTTCGCGACCTCGGACTGCTGATACTTGCTGGTACCACACTAATTTCGGCGTAAAGGCCCGCCGCTGTTCCTCACCTTGCTCTTTTAAGCCAAAACAGGGAAACCAGTCAGCCAGAGAATAGATGCGACCGTTTTCTCTGGCTCCTCCGGCTCTGGTCGCACCTTCTATGTTTGCGACACTGCGACTCGCAGACGTTTTCTGGTGGACACTGGAGCTCAAATCAGTGTCGTTCCCCCAACTGCAGCTGATCGTCGTTTCCCTAGTCCTGGTCTTCATCTTCAAGCTGCTAACTGTTCCCCAATTCCCACTTTTGGCAGTCTGTCCCTCACCCTGAACATTGGCCTTCGTCGGTCATTTACTTGGATCTTTGTGATTGCTGATGTCCCTCATGCAATCCTCGGCTCGGACTTCCTTGCCGAGTTCGACCTCCTTGTTGACTGTCGACGTGCCCGTCTCCTCGACCGCAAAACCGGTCTGTTCGTCCGTGGACTAACTCCATTTACTGCCCCCACCAACTAATCTGTCCTGGATTCAGATATTGCTAGTCCTTTTCGGCAACTGCTGCTTAGTCACCCCAATATAATTAACGCCCAGTTTCGCAGTGGTGAAGTTCAACATGATGTTGTGCACCATATCCGCACCTCAGGTCCTCCCGTGTTTGCTCGACCGAGACGACTAGCACCGGAGCGTTTTCAGGCCGCGAAGGCGGATTTTGAACACATGCTGCAACTGGGAATAATTCGACCGTCCGAGAGCCCTTGGGCGTCCCCACTGCACATGGTGCCCAAGGCAACATCAGGCGACTGGCGGCCCTGTGGTGACTATCGTGCCCTCAACAATGCGACCATCCCGGATCGTTATCCCGTCCCTCATCTTCAAGATTTTGCTGGAGCTCTTTTCGGCAAATCGGTTTTCTCGAAGATTGACCTTGTTCGGGCCTTCCATCAGATTCCTGTCGCTCCTGAGGATGTTCCCAAAACTGCCGTCACCACACCATTCGGCCTCTTCGAATTTGTTCGCATGCCATTTGATCTTCGCAATGCTGCCCAAACATTCCAGAGGTTCATTGATCGAGTCCTACGTGGTCTCCCGTTTGTGTACGCCTACATCGATGACTTCTTGGTGGCCAGTCGAAATGCCGAGGAACACAAAGAGCATCTTGCCTTAGTGTTTGACCGCCTCGATCAGTTTGGCGTGGTCATTAACCCTTCCAAGTGTGTCCTGGGTGTGCCGTCCCTTGATTTTCTTGGTCACCATATCGATGCACAAGGTTTGCGTCCCCTCTCTTCCAAGGTTGAGGCCATTCGTGACTTTCCTCCACCAACCTCCAAGCGTCAGCTGCAACGTTTCCTTGGCATGGTAAACTTTTATCGCCGGTTCCTACCGAACTGTGCCGACCTTATGCTGCCACTCACCAACTTGCTCTCTGGTCCCAAGGGTCCCCTTGAGTTACGCGGCCACGCGCTGACTGCATTTGAGAGACTAAAGACCTCCCTTGCTGATGCTACCTTGCTCACTCATCCTGCTCCAGAAGCCCCATTGTCCCTGATGGTTGATGCTTCAACCGTTGCCGTAGGAGCAGTCCTCCAACAGCATATCAACAACTCGACACGACCGTTGGCATTCTT